TTCACGAACTGAACTGACTGTATTATTCCCTTGATTCAAAGCCTACTGTCTTGGGAACCCAGTTTTGACACAGCCCAAAGCCACAGGTTGCTCAAAATGCTCGTGGCACTAAACTGAACTCCAGGCCCTGCTGACCACCGGGCACCTACCTGCTCATACCTTCAGCTTAACTCCCCCCCCCCAGGTTGCCCACCCACCTTGGCAGCCCTTGGGCTTCAGACTCTGCCATCAGGCCTGGCAACCCGCCGAATTGGGCATCAGCTGTACCATCAGACAGGAGGGGCTGGCCCCCCAAATGAGAGCCCCAGGAGACCGAGGGCAGAAGGGCAAGTGGGTGGAGAGACAGAGAAAGGAGAACAGAGGAAGGGGGGCTGGAGGAAGGGGAGAGAAAAAAGGGAACAGGAGGGGAGACAGAAAAGGGTGGACAGAGGAGAGGAGATGAAGGGGGAAGGGCGGGGTTACACAGGAATGGGGACAGAGGATGGGGGGCAAAGGAGAGGGGCAAGAGTGAGGGGTGCAGGAGACAGAGAGGGGAACAGAGAATTGGGGACAGAGGGACAGGAACGGGGTGGGGAGGGAGAGGGGGATGGGGTATGAAGGAGGGAGGACGGAGAAGGAAAACACAGCAAGGGGGGATGAAGGAGGGGAACAGAGGCAGGGAAGTGGGGGTCGCGCGCGGCAGTGTAATGAAGACCCCAGGCAGTCCTCCCGCACCTGGGTGAGCGGGCTGCGCAGCAGGCCGGCAGCAAGCAAAACGCAGCGCCAGCCGCGCGTGCCGCGGCCCAGTGCGGGCCGTTGGGGCGGGCGCGGGGTGGCGCAGGCGCAGGCAGGGGCTCGGAGAGCGCGCAGCGCTGGGGGCAGCAGCGCGGGGGTCCGGCAGGCAGTGGTGCGCCGGCAGTGCGGCGAGCTGCGGCTCCGAGCTCAGCGCCAGGCCCAGCACCACGCATAGCAGCCACGAGGCAGCGGCCAGCAGGCGCCGGGCTCGGCCGAAGCCGCCGGCCGCACGCAAGGCCCACACCTCCGGGTCCATTGTCTACCTCTACACCTAAGCCGTAGCTTTTTAAAATGTCAACAGCCCCAGTGGTCACGTGTGGCATTAAAATTAATCTAGTATATATTTTCAATTACATTTACAGTCATTAACATTCCTGTAAACTGGCTAAGTACATGCACTCAATTTATAAATGGTTAAATAGAGGTACAATTTTATCATATAGTCATGTAAAATGAACATAAATCGTAATACATGTTGCTTCTAAGGAGGTTAAATAGATATTGAAGAATTGTTTTGGGATTAATTTGTTAAAAGTATGGAAGAGTAATATCTGCTTTAGGTTTTTAAACAAATACTTCTAAAATATAGTGTATGATCTGTAAGAGTGAAATACTCAAAAAGTTAATAAGGAAAGAGTTTCAGAGTATTTCAGGGAAAATTTTCATTTCCATTTCGACAGGAGAAAAAACCTTAAACATGTAAAATACAGATACCCGAAATAAAACAATCCTATTAGAGAGAACTTTATTTGATTATTGTGTCATTTTGGCTTTTGTAATTCAATACAGATGACACTAAATTTAGAGAAACTGGAGGAAAATCATAAAGGACCTAAGAAATATACAATAATAGATTATTTCTCTTAGAGAAGAACACAGTGTGGGTTACATATCAACCTTCTCTCATCTGAAAAGTTTGATAAGTAAGATGGTAAGTGGCTCTTGAGAGTATGAAAACTTTACAAATATTTCAACCTCAAAGAATCAGGTTAGCCCACTGAACAATTTTTTTTAAAGATTTTTATTGGGTAATTGGGGGGATGGGAACAGTGCTGGGGAATTGGGGGAAGGGGAACAGACAAGTTGCTGTCGTTTTGTTCTTCAGTCTAGTTGTGGAGGACGTTGCTTCACTGGCCCAAGTTGGCACCATCATTGCGCTCTTCCCTGGCGAGGCAGATCAGTCGCCGGCTTCTGGACGGCCGCTCACTGCGGCTCATGCTGGCTGCTGGCTACACACGGTAGCCCATGGCAACCCACTGCCACAGGGACTGCAGCCTACGCCGTCGCCGGTGACTCAGGGCAGCTCAGCTCCAGGTTAAACTGTTGTTCAGCATGTTAGCTGTGGAGGGCAGTGTCACTGGCCCTCATATGTGGGATCCGAACCGGGGCCCTCTGGCATCCCAAGCGAGTTCTTAACCATCGCGCCACTCGGCCGGCCCCCCACTGAACAATCTTAACATCATCACAAGGGAAATAAACAGACACTGTGTGCCTCCTGACATGATGCGATAGGAAGTACTGAGTGCTACCTGGAAGTATTTTTGCTTCCCCCTTCCCCAAATGGATCCTGAGTCTACTCAAGCCACTAGACCTAATTACCATTTATAGGAAATTCGGGGGGCATCTGAACATGTTACTGACACCATGAGGATAAGATATAATTGGTCAAATCCAGGATATGGGAAATCTGACAAAACAAATGACTCAGTTTCTTCAACAAATGATATTAAAAAAAAAAGTCTGAGGGCCGGCCGAGTGGCTCAGTTGGTTAAGAGCTCGCTCAAGAGTTTGAGCTCTGAGCAACAGTGGTTCGAGGCTGGCCCGAGCTGAGCTGCCAACAGGTGGCAGGATGGCTCAGCAAAAAAAAAAAAAAAAAAGTCAGGGGGGAATTATTATAAGTTAAGAGACTTCGAAGACAACTGAAACAAACCAACTATTAAAAAAAATGGTTAGCGGGCCGGCCGAGTGGCGCATTGGTTAAGAACTGGCTTGGGATGCCAGAGGGCCCCGGTTCGCATCCCGAGGGCCAGTGACACTGCCCTCTGCAGCTAAGATGCTGAACAACGGCTCAAGCTGGAGCTGGGCTGCCGTGAGTCGCCAGCGACTGCATAGGCTGCAGCCCCTGTGGCAGTGGGTTGCCAGGGGCTACCGTGTGTAGCCAGCAGCTGCTGTGAGCAGCCGTCCAGAAGCCCGCGACTGATGTGCCTCGCCCGGGAAGAGCGCAATGATGGTGCCAACTTGGGCCAGTGAAACAACGTCCTCCACAACTAGACGGAAGACCAAAACGACAGCAACTTGTCTGTTCCCCTTCCCCCAATTCCCCAGCACTGTTCCCATCTCCCAATTCCCCAATAAAAATCTTAAAAAAAAAAAAGGGTTAGGGAAACCTGGTCATCTTGGTGGCCTAGCATCCCCCCTCCTCCAGCCCCCTGCCCCCTGTGATGGTGCTCTGAGGCCCGCAAGGGGTCGCTGCCGAGGTTTCCACCAGCCCACGAACAAGAGCATAGCAGCCACCCGCTCCAGCGGCCCGTTCATGGCCACCCACAAGTACTATTGGCGCTGCCTGGGTTCCACTTCCAGTAACAGCTCCTGCCTGTAGACATGCTGAGTGCCCTGGGGAAGCCATCCCCCACTACCCGGGTCTCTCCAAGGCTGACCCGGGTCACTCATGGGCGAGCTTCTTTTTCGGGAAGACCACTGTCCCATTCATGGCCACAGTGTTGGTGTCCCCAGAGCACTCGCCGTCTCCCCAGGCCTCCAGCAGCATGATCACCTGTGACCTGGCTGGGGAAGCCACAAAGCAGCAGCCTGGTGGCCAACCCAGCAAAACCAATGCTGGGGGTGAGGGTGGGGGAGGGGCATCAGCCACCAGACTTTCAGAAGAGCTAGGCTCTTTTGAGCCCCGCCCCCACCCCACACACTAGGCAGGCTGCAACAAGCAGAAGCAGTTGGGTTCTTTTATATCAAAACAGCAAAACACCAAAAACGACAACAACAAAAACTTGAGAGAGCCTCACTCTTTACTCTCCAAGCCACACGTGAGCCTTCCTGACATCCCATAACAGTGTGCCTTGCACCAAATAAACAAGCAGCCAGCAACAAAAAAAGGGTTAGGGAAAAAACCAAACGGGAAAAAAAACAGGGAAAACCAAGTAGATATTAGGAATTATCGTTGATTTTGTTAGGTGTGATAACAGTACTGTGGTCATGTTTAAAAAGTCACCATCTATTAAAGACAGGCTGAAGTTTATGGATGAAATGACAGGATGCCTGGGAAGTGCTTTAAAATACTCCCCGCAAAAGTGAGCTGACTGATGAAAAAAATTGGCAAAATGTTAATAATTGCTGAAGCTAGGAGAAGGATGCATGAGGTTTCTTGCATACTACTCTACTGACTTTTATGTATGTCTGAAAAATTTTTACAATAAAAGCTCTTAAAAATGGGTTATACATGCAAAATTACATTTGAAAAAAAATTTTTAATTCAGTTCTTACTACTCTGCCATTGTTGTACACAGTACTTTCGTAAAGTTATTCGTGATTACTAATCATGTTTCCTAACCAGTAGAAGTGGACAAGTATCCAGGGCAATTCTTAACTTAAAGATATATAGTCTGTGAGCATAATTTGTATTTTCCAACACTTTCACTAATTTGTGCCCCCATAATTTTGTATAAAGAGCCAGGAGGCTGATTTTTCAGAGCTGAAAGAACTCAAGACAAATTTGGTAGCTTCTGAGAATAAACTTGCTTCACCCTGCCTCTTGCTACAGGGAACAACAGATCTGACTTCAGGGGGTATTTTCAGAAGCCAAGATGACTTCCTCTGGCTGACTGCCACGTAAAATAACTCTACCCCAAATAGCACTGGACACGCCACTATCCATACAGCACAGGAGTATTTAAATGACTGGAATTTAGTTAGCTGGTTATGGTTGTGCTGATATAACACAACTTTTTTTTTTAACGCAGAAAGAATTAGATACTAGAGTCCTGAAAGTCAAATATGACATTATGAAATTAGAAGTAAAACAATAATACGTAATAAAGGAAACGTAGATATTAGTATCCAACTTACCAAGAAAGTTTACTAGTTTGAGCCTATTATTACTTGACTGATTTGCTTTAAAGAAATTAGAACAAAATAAATCTATAGACATAATTTAAGAATTGGTGAATAGCAAGGACTGCTGCTTGAAGCATATTATACTGAGGAAATACACACACCTCTCACGGGGAAGCTCAGCTGCTGTAAAGTTGACGCACTTATGCAGTAACCAATTTGAGGTTCATAGGCGATGGTATCTAGACATTCATTCCAATCTTGTACATTAGTCACGGGACAATCCTGCAGATGGGTGACAAGGTCGCCCACAAAAAGGCCTCTGGGTCCAATGGCAGGTGAGTCCTTGGGAAGAGGGCAAAATCAAATCAGATAATGTGTGAAGACAATCCATGATTAATCTGAGCAAAAATAGTTAAAGACACTGAATTGATTAAATAGGATATTTTGAATAACACAGAAAATAATCCAGCTTTGCATTCAAGATATGTAGTCCTAGAAAATTAACAAAACAAAGCCCAACAATTACAGTTACTTTTCCTGCTTCTCCAAGATTTTGAATTTTATTTATTATTCATGTTATTTATTTTTATTAGTTTCAGGTGTACAAAACAATGCAATAGTTATAATTTTCACCCCTCACGAAGTGACCACCAGATTGATTTTTTTTGCAACTGGAAAAAAAACAACCCCAAAACCTACTTGCCAACTGTTAAGATTAAAATGACAGTTTTTCACAAACTGCTAAATTTTTTTTTTGTGAAAGTCATCAGAATTCCTTCCTTTTCCTATATCCTCAGTGGGTAACGTTGTAAGACAAGTCCTTAGTTTAAAACAGTGCCAAATACGAACAGCCGATACTGTTAGCACAATGAATATGTGAGCCAGATGCTCACAAAGGTAATGTTCCTCTTCCCCAAGTCTGAATAGAAGATTTGATACCATTACAGTTGTTTTTCCTTTTTTTTTTTTTTTTGTCGAAGGGAGTGAAATAAAGTTGGAAACAAGCTCCCACCAAATGTTCCAGCTGGCTAGCTTAGGTTTCATATTCCTTACTTCTTAAGAGTAGACATTTGATTAAAAACAGAGTTATAAAAATAAAGTCAAGGTAAATGATTCATTTAATCAGCAAACTACAGGTAGAAAATCTTGACACTATTTTTGTAACTCAGAACAGAAACAATTTTCAGTATTTTTAAAAAGCCAATGTGTTCACAGAACTTTGTTCAATTTGAAAGGATTACCAATAATTTCTTCAGGGGAAACTGAGCTTTCTGTATGTGAGGAAAACTTGAATAAAAGTTCCTGACACAAAATGCTAAGTGTAACATCACAAAATCTGGTGATAAAAATGTCCAAGTAATCCATTATTTACCTCAGCAACTTCAGTGATAAGCACCCCGACTCCAGTGTAGTAAAAGGGCAAGAGAATTACAGGGAGGAGAACAAGAGCTAAAATACCCAGGAGTGCAAGGACAAAATTATGCCAGATACCTGAAAGGAGAAAAAAAGGAATAAGTTCAACCAGGGGCAGGGATGATATAGGTATTTGGACTTCATACTGCCTGGGCATTCTGATAAATCAGTCAAGTAACCAGAAAAAGCTGTGAGGCAGATAAACGTACTTGTTAGTATAGCAGACAGATGTTTAGTTAGAGGCCTCTTCCATTTCAGATATTAAAATATAAAATAAGCATGTTAATACATTAGGAAGACCACATGCTAATGATTTAACATGAATAAAATCGGTATCCTATTTATATACCGCTGACACACACAGAGGGTGCCAAAAAATGTATACACATTTTAAGAAAGGAAAGACTATATATTAACATAAATTGTAATACTATATACTGATAACAAAAGATGAATACAAGTCATGTGTATACATTTTTTGCACCCCTGTATATAACACAAATAGGATATTTTATTTACTATACCCTCTTCCCAGAAAATGTATAATTATTAATATAAATATACTTGTGATCTTTGAAAGGAACTTCCGAGCTATTCAAATAAACCTAAGATGAAATAAAAAGCATTCTTGCTGAACTGGGGTATGGAAATCCAAAAGGTATTTGGAAAAAGAGGTTCTTTGAAGAATTAAAGTATTAAGGAGAGTACTATTGGGACCAAATAGATTATGTATCTTACATCATGTCAAACTATAACCATCTCTACCATATAAACAGAGATGGTTAGGTGAACCGAGTAGTGTGCTGGAGTGTGCTCCTACTGCTTGCCACAGCCTTACCTATTCCTCCCTCAGGGACTTCAGGTTGGCACCTTGAAATTGGCCATGGTAGGAGTACATATTTACAAGCCAGAAACCAGCAAATGCTACATCGCCTCCAGAGGCAGGTGTTAAACATACATTAGCACACTACATAACCCCTCCCCCATCCCTATCCTTCCTTTCTTCTACTAGTTTTTCTCACCAGGCAGGGTGGGAGCACTACTAGCACTCTGAGCAGTGCTGATTCTCAGTTGTGCAAGTCTGTCCCTTATATAACAGGATATTTAGCATTCCTGGCCCCATCCACTAAATGCCATTAGCGCTCTCCAGTCACTGAGAGGACCAAAGAATGCCCCCCACCCCACACATTCCAAACATTCCCAGGATGATAGCATCAGTGATCGAGAACCAATGTTCTATAATGACTGAAATGTAAGCTAAACACATTACCCAGACTCTCAGGGAGCAGAGTATGGGCATATGACTGTTTTGGCCAACAGGATACGAGTGGAAGTAATGAAGATATCTCTGTCCTGCTGGCTGGCATGTAGCTATGTGATGGAACTAAACCTGAGTCTATAACATAGAAGCAGCATGTTGGAAATTGTACAGCTAGCAAGGCAGAAAAGGCCTGAGTCCTTCAAATCACAGAATTATATCAGTGCTGAACTACTTACATTTGGAATGTTTTATGAGCATTTAAGCCTGTTATTTTTAGCTATTACAGCAGCCAGATACCTGCTAATAATACACGTTCCACGTACTATATTTGCATTGTGAAGATGCCCCCCCCCCAGTGCTGTAAGTTAAATTCCAGAAATATCCAGAGCAAGTCTAGTCTATGACATATTGGTAAACAATCTTTTCTGTTCTATACACATATCTTTTAAAAACACCAATGGTATCAAATTATTTATCAGGAACTGTATTTTGCTTTTTCATTTCTGTATTTTGGATTTGTACCTTATCTGTACATTTCATATCTATCCCATTTCTTATGTCCACTACAGAGTAACCCATTTAAAAAAATATATACTGACTTATTTGTAAGGTTTCCTACTACTGATCACTTAGGCTGTTTTAACTTTTTCATATACTGCTGCGACAAACAGCTTTGCTCATATTGCTATGCATCTAATTACATAGAAATGGAATTGTTGGATCAAAAAATATGTGCATTGAAATTGACTTCCAATGCGCCTGCATTAATTTATGTTCTCATAACTGGCATGTTTCCTCACCTTCTAAACAACGCTGGATGCTATCGTAGTTTTAGACTTTGCCATCTGCTAGGTGAAAAGTAAAATGTCTTAATTTCTATATCTTTAATTGTGAGTGAGCCTGTACATCTTTCATGTTTATTAAAAGGCTTTTTCTATTTCCTTTGTCTGAAAACTATTTCCATCATTCCCTGTTTACATTTTTTGACTGGGTTGTTTTTTGTTTTATTTTACTAATTTGTATATATTATTATTTGCAATATACACATTGAGGAACTTGGTCTTTTGTAAGAGGTATTATAATTTTTTCCTCCAGTGTATTGTTTGGCTTTGTTTATAGTTTTGCCTATGCAGATTTTTTAAATTTTGGTGTGGTCAAATGGTTCATTTGCATTAAACCATTCCCAGTTCAAGATTACAGAAGATACCCGTGCTTTCTTGTATTGCTTTCATAGCTTCATTTAAAAAACAAAATTAGGAGCACTTTCTCAATCCATTGAGATTTTGCTTCCCGGCAATTGTCATTAGTTTGGCTCAAATAAACTCTTATAGCTTTAAACAAACAAACAAACAAAATTAAAACAAAACACCCCCCACCACCACCACCACTAATTTTTTAACCCACTAGAATTTAATGAAACTAATTTAGGAATACAGCTATAACCCTCTTACCCCCTCCCACCCCTGCCAAGTTGCTAGTCCCAACACAATTTTCACAAAATAATCCATCCCCACCGATTAGATTCGTCACCATTACCATGTGCTAAATTCAGCCCCTCCCCAACTCAGGATGGGACAGCCCACTGGGACTGCCTAAATGCTTGCACCCTCACTATTTCTCAGAATACCACCACACAACCATGGCTCTTCCTATCCAAACAGTAGTTAAAGGGGTACACAGCAGCACTGATTCCTTGACTCTCTGGGCAGCCTCCTATCTCTTGTCAGGGATGCAACTGGTACCAGATCACCCCTCTAGAGTCCAGAGTTGCCCATGATGGTTAAGTGGCAATGAGTGAGGTAGAATACACATTTCCTTTATTTAAACAACCTCTTGTCCATTAATGATTTGTTTAAAAGTACATCAACGGAATTTTTGTTACAGCTTTTACTTTCTCTAGAACAGGATTCTTCATATTGGCATTTTGGGGCAGATTGTTGTGGGGGACTGTCATGTGCACTGTAAGATGTTTAGCAGCATCCCTGGCCCCACTCCCTAGATGCCAGTAGCACCCTCCCTATTTTCTGTATTTTTTAGCTATGGTATTAATACAGGCAAGTTTTTTTTCTCTTTAGAACACGTATTTTATTTTTGCCTTTTCTATTAAACAGGTTGTACATATTGTTTAAAAAGTCAATGTATAAACAAGACAACTACAACTGTGCATGACTAACTAAACAGGCAAAGAAATTACACTAAACAGTACCTGACAGTATTTGGGGAAAACAAAATGACTAAAATAGGTTTAAATTGACTAATACTATTAAATTACATTTAACATTCAATACTACATAATTAAATGCAGCTAAAAGAATTATGCAAAATGTGTTAATATCAAAAAATACAACCAAAGTTAAGATAGCAAAAAAAACCTATATAACCTGTTTTAAACAGGAAAATACTTCTTGTGTGCACGTTTACTCTTTTAAAGAAAATCTATAACAAGCAAAGTTATCAATCCAGAAACACCACATAGAATTATTAAATATATTCATAAAAATATAAATATGAACATTTTAAAATACAGAACTTCTAAAATTTATAAGCAATAGGTGAACTTGAATACGAAAAGTCTCATTTTTAACAGTTTATATTATAAAGAACAGTCTTTTTATGTAAGATTCATGAATTATCCTCCTGTTGGGATCAAAAAACACCATGTTTTCCAAATAGTATTACAGAACAAAATAAAGCACCTTAACAATGTAATAGAATATAAACATACATGTTTTTCTACCTTTTAACTTTCTTTTAACATTTTAATTTTATTTTTACTACTCTACCAAAACATGACCCTTTAGATATGTAGAAATCAAAAAAATTCTTTCCTAGAAACAATATACAAGAATGGGGCATATTCACTTCAAATTACACTCCTGGAAGAACCTTCCCTAGTTTGAAAAGGGTCTTCTCTCCTTTTTACTGGCTATTTTTGTTCTTATTATGTGTTAACATATGCGTTTTAAGGTTAGTTGACTGAGTAAATCTCCTACCACAACCATGGAAGGGGCACATGAAGGGCCTATCCCCGGTATGGATTCGCAAATGGGTACGCAAATTGAAATCTAGGGAAAAGCGTTTTCCGCAGCCTTCGAAGGTGCACTGATAGGGCTTCTCTCCGGTGTGCACCAGTTGATGCCGTTTTAGTTTTGAGGACTCAAGGAAAGCTTTGCCACATTCTGCACATACATGAACCCTGGGACCGTGGGTATGCAGATGCTTTTTCATAGCACTGATATCCCTGAACGCCTTTGAGCAGCCTTTATGAGGGCAAGCTACTGGTCTCGGATTATCATCTTTGGGTTTTTCTTGCTTACGTGTAGCAAATTCTGCCAGCTGCTCGGGATCTGAGCGGTTAACGCCAGGGGTTCCTACAGTAGGAAGTTTCTTTCCTGTCATGTACCCCGAATAACCAGGAGCTGCATTGACCTCAACCTGTCCTCCTGCCTCACGGTCACTTTTACTGCCTGGGGACCACATTCTGATGGAAAACTCACCCCCCAGGTTTTGGATCTGCACGTGCTTCTTCTGCACCCACTGACTGCTGCCCTCCTCAGAACCACCGCTTCCCGCCTCGGCCTCGCTGCTGCTGTAACTCTTTTTACCACTGGACTTTCGGTTACGGCGCTTGTGGCTGTGGCTGTAGGTGGATGACGACCCGGAGGCTGCGAAGGACGCCAGGGTCTGATGAAAGGTGTCTTCTACTTTCGGGATGAAAACCTGGCTCTCGAGGTGGTCGTCTGACTCGTAGCAGCCCACCACTTCTTCCTGTGTCTGCACCATAATAAGTTCCTGGTCGTCGCCCCCTTCGGGGGTAATAACCAGCGGCTGCAGCACGAGCAGAGGCGAATGGTGGTGGCCACCATGGATCCAGCTGCCGTCGGTATTCTCGTACTGAATGGTGTCCAAGGCCATGGTCTCCGCAGGGACGGCCTCCGCCAGGTCCACAGGGTCGAGCTCCACAGGGACGGCGTCCGCAGGGACGGTGTCTATAGGGACGGCCTCCGCCAGGTCCACAG